ACTTGGAGCGACTGGGTCAGTGGCTACACCAGGCCCCGATGATATATGTCATCTACGTGTAAACCCCATTGTGAAGGCGTCGATTAATGATGCATCAACTAAAGCGCTTAGTGATGAAGTCTTTTGTGAGCGTTCATGTAGTGGTATTGTGGAGGCTATTTGGGAAACGTTCTCTTCTCTTATGAAGAAACGCAATAAATACTGACGCCGTTTGGAGTGTGGGGTCGCGTCAGTCTGCCATCTGGTTCAAATTGATGCCGTTTAAGATGAAAAAAAAAACGAGTGGTGGACTTCACCGAATCTGGACAAGGGCGCAGGCAGTGCCCGTGGATAACTTTGACTCTCATGATATACGTATTTGGTATGGCAATTGCGACGGCCAATGTCCGATACGACTTTTTAAGGCGTGCATTTTATTAGCGGAGACTAATCGGTCTGATGCGTCGTTAGAGTATTCGCTGCGAGAATTTGTAGCGGCCATCAGCGAGGAATGGGGAAACTACATTTCAGGTAGCGTCAGGCATCCGACATATGTGGGCTAATGGTATTGCTCGTAATTGTGAGCGCTTCCCATTGATCGACGTTGTCGCAAAAATCGTAACTACGCTACATCGTCAACTAGCTCATACTATCAGAATCTCGCTTAGAAGAGTACTTATCCAGTGTGACTCAATCAGCTAGCGTTGTCTTGAACTGCGTAAGAGCTTCTATTGCGGACTACCACCAGCCACATCGCCACTTGACGGCTGCTAGATTCTCCCTTGAAGACCATAAACAGCAGCTGACGGCACATTAGGCAATAATTAAGGGAGTTATTCGTGACCTTGTGTCACTGTCGCCTACCGAGATAATCAATCCGCTGCTCCAAATTGAGAGCGTCGAGGACTCCGAACACGCGGAGTGAAAGCTATTATTTCTGATCTGCTGGGTATCACTTGAATCAAGACCTTACAGTTTGTTCTACGTTTCTTGGTGATTTTTCGCTTAGAATATCCCTTCAATGTAAGCAGTCTCCAAATCATCTTGATTGGCATCTCAGATCAAGTTGCTCTCGTCTCTCACTTGAAAGCGGTCCGACCGGTTCGAAGTATCGTTGGATCTTCCATCCACAGTGCTGGAAAACTTTGTCCATGTTAAACGTTTGGAATCTCCGGATTGTCTATACTCCACATGACAGCAGGCCCCACCCGCCCTTATTGAGGTAATGTCGCTGGAATGAGCGCTTCACGTAGCTAAACAAGAATTCTATTGGATTGAAAAAGGGACAATTCGCCGGCAGAAATATCGGCACAACTCCAACACTTCGAAGATAGTGGATTATCTCGACATCCTGTAGATTGGAGCGCCATTTCAAATCTAAACTGAATTGCGGCAAGGGTGTTGACGCACTGGCCCTCTTGGCCAGTGAACGAAGTCTTGACAGCACGCTGTGAGTTCCACGCGATTAAACGTGCCATCCGTGCGAAAGTACTTTAGGATACCCTTCACGCCGATAAACACTAGAACCGACACCTGCGGTTTTCGCTCACAATCTCTTCTAATAGCGACCTTCTATCCCTGTAGTGCGTACCTATCATTATTTGGCTATCAAAGCTGGCCTCATCAAGAAAAACCAAAATGTAGTGGCTTCCCGCGATGTTGCTAGCTTCTTCCGCGAATCGAGACACGTCTCGCTCCTTATTGTGCATTGTGCGACGCTTTAAACCTTTTCGGTAAGTCCGAAATCGTATTTTGCTCTTCAAACAAACGTCTTGGAGATGTCAGCGACATGACACTTTAAAAAGCTACTTACGAAGGAAAATGTTTCGAGCGCATATGCAGCTAGCTCCTAAAACTGCGTTCTCGTGCACATGAGCTCATACATCATCTAGCTCGGAGTGTGAGAATAAAATGCGCTTATTTTTAGTAGATGCTAGATTGCTAAGTCTGATGTATGGCTACTTCTGCCGCCAATTCCAGGAGCTTCGAAAATACCCAGTGGTATCCCTAAATAAGGTGGCTGTGAAGACAAACTAGATCATCCAGCTTGCGCTTGCATTAGGATAGCGTGGTATGTAGACGAAAGCACTACACCGTTCACTCTAATTAGTCGTGCCATGACTAATAAATGGCGATGAACAGTGAAGTCTAAAAATAGGCATGATTATTTTAGGTGCACGACTATATTAGGGGCATGACTAATTATGGTGAAATCGACTGTCTATTTTAGGGGCGGCTATACAGTCGCCGATGCTGCGCACTCTTTGTAGCCTTTATCATACTCAGCACGATATGCTTCTACAATTTCTCGCACAGGCTTGCGGAGGTGCTTAACCTGCCACGTACCATCAATATCTACGTCTAAGCCGCACAGTATCATCGACTTCTTAGCCCAGTTGATCCCTTCTTGTCCATTTCTGCGCTTACTAGACGGGCGCATTCTGCTGTAGTATCCAGATAAACACGTTTTACCTGGGTTTGCAAGAGACCCCGACGACTTGGCACCCTGCATTCAATCGCCACGCCGAATTGCTTCCATATTTCTTTTCTCACACAACCGCCGCCAGTGCACTTTGACCCTCTGTACAGGAAGCCGGTCGGCTGGCTGGACGAAGTATGTAGAGTTAGGGGGGAAGAAGAGAATGCGAGTCTTGAGCGCCTTTCCAGGTGACACAATGTCGTCACTTGCGTGCCCACTTGAATTGTCCATCCACAGCACACGCCCTTGCCCAAAAGGCCCTGATATGCCCCAGCAGCGAACGCCACTCGTGCATCAGTTTGTTGTCGATAAAGGCGCTGGACGACGAGCAGTATGCAACCCCTCTAGCAGTGTCCGAAAAGCCTTAGATAGGGTAGCTTGACCTGGCATTCTTGAATATTAGCTTTGGAGATAGCAGCTTGGCGTCTCTACCTCCCTTCAATAACACGCACATTTGTAATTCCTTCTCGACCTACTCCCATAAGTTAGGTTTTGTCAGCAGCCTGTAATGGTGCAGTAAAAGCAATGTTTAGTTAGAAAATTGAAATATGTGGTACCTGATAGAATACTACAGTATTTCACGCCGTCGGCACCGCGGAAGTCCAAGTGTCTTACCATCATCTAGATTTAAGACAAAATGTGATTCGTCCATGTTGTACTGCTGGTCAGGGTCAAGCCGGCCGTCATCAAATTCGCGTTTCAGCATGCCAAGGTGTAACGCTATAGACTGTTCAAGTTGTGCCATCGTTTTGTCACTAACCTGCTTCATCCCTTTCAGTTTTTGGTACACGATATTGTGCCGGACGGTGAAATCCTGGAGGCGTGATCAGTGTACGGAACTTCTTTCCACTAAAGCTGTACGCGGAGTTGTATACAGCGTGCTTGCTGACTTCGATCATAGTCATTGCCATGTCCATCAAGAGCCGGGAAGAAAGCCTTAAACCCGCTCGACGCAACCGCTCAAACTCTGCAAGTAACAGCGGATAGAGCCAGGCTTGCGCCCCCGACCGACCAGAGCCTTGTGCGTAAGCTGGTGTCTTCCGCCGCTCGCCGTCCTGGCGTACTTGCGCTAGCCGTCGTCCAGTGCAGCTTGAAAGGCCGAACGCTTCGCCACCAGTCTCGCACCTTGTTAAGGTTGACGCGACGGTCGGCTGCCCGGAAGATGGACGGAAACTGGTAGACCGTAGAAACCCTTCTCTCCATCCTCGACAGCGTTGCCCTCCATCCAAGCTACGGAGCGAGCCCGAATCGCTACCCCGACAACATGCTGCAGTGATCGTGTCTCTGTGTCGTTCATCCTAATTGTGAAAGTGAGCACTCTGAAAAGTTGGGGCTGTCGATGTCCGACGCCAACTTGTCGGGGGATTGGTTGGCGCCGTTGGCTTGGCACGATTAATACTGATGCATGACTATATATGGTAAGTGGGCAATAATTTATCATATCAGTACAATTCATGACTAATTTTGAAGCACGACTAATTAGAGTGAACGGTGTACACTGTACACACAGTGAGGCACTTTCGAATTTGCACAAAAAATATTTCTAATCTGCTTAAAAACATTTCGTTTTTACTACGTATCACCTGCAAAGTGTTATATTTTACGGTGCAAGGTCGTGAAAAAACCTGTAGCAAATTAAGAACTTGTCGTATTTATAAAAAATGAAAAATATAAGAGTACTTCCTTTGGAAGTTGTTTTAATGCAGCACCTAAGTTTTCTGTGGACAATATATTTCATCCTTGAACAATCATTATTGGGCTGTATGTGATGTACTACCTACGTAGAGTGGCACTACCAGGATCAAGTAGGAGCATGAACTGCTGCCAACTTGTGTGCGGTAATTTCGTACTTTACAAGTGTGGACTCTTGTGGTCTGAGCAAAAACTGTGCAAAATATTGTGCATGAGCTCGGAGTGATCTATATCAGAGGTGAGTAATAATTATGCTAATATATTTTTTTTTTTTTTCAAGCTCAGGAGAGATCAATAAAATGATATCTGATCAGTTGTTGCAATAAATACATTAGCCTGAATTTTGATATATACTTAATTCTTGAATGTCACTTGGCATTGCAAAAGTACCGTTATTTTGAATGCTACTAGCATTGGTTGTGATACGTGTAGGGCACTGCGTGAATCCACCGTATGCACCGGTTTATCTCTCTGATGAATACTCTCAGCTGAGTCCTACCTTTCAAACTACTACTACTGTTGTATACGCTTAAATAAGGCATCACCTCCAGTAGTACTACGTAGTACTACAGTAGTAGTACTTGTACGTAGCTCTACAGTATTTCTTCTTTTTGCTTACATACTACCAAGGTTGATGCGAGGAGTATTGTACAGATATATCTCTTTCTTGGTAACGTTTTATAAACAGTTTCTCTCAGTTTATTTTTTCAAATTTGGGGGATCTCTCCTTTACCGGGCTATCTGTTCGACTTGTTTCCCGGACTGCATGAAGCTATAAGACCACTTTTAATACTAAACTATCAGCTCAGACATATATGATCCTCGTTCCCCAACGCCGCAGATCTTTGAGTCATGTTGTCGATGCCACTCGTTGGTCATTTCTCTTCATGCCATCGTAAAATTTAGCGTATTGCTTAAATCTGCGGTACGCTTGACTTGTCAAAATATAGTCCGACGGAAACTGATGCTGGTGCACCATGGTCACCCACTGGGAAAGGGACATTTCAACAGATTCGTCTTTGTGCCTTATGACGTCGAAGAGACGGTGGGGTTGCACTCCTGCCGCATATAACTCTGCGTCAGTTGCGTCCATCTTGATCAAGTTTGCAATTTGTTTCTTCATTTTCCGCTCCCTCAAAGGATGCATGGCTGCGTTGGTAAGCACTGTTAAGTATCCTCGGTCTTCGTGCGCGGGGTTTCCATCATCTTCAGGAGTATCTTGACTTCTTAGGAACCGTTCTGATGAAATGTCATCAGCTGGACGAGGGACATCAGTGGACAGCTGCTTAAGTTTACTCGAGGCGTCCACCACTCCATCGGTTGTAGCGAGGAGGGCTACCGCGCAACCCACAATCAAATAGCCAAGGCGCATACTGGGTTAATGAAATGGAGAGAACTGTCTACTGCGGAGTAAATGGATTTGTGAGTTTGACCGCGCAAGGCTACTTCTGCCCGGGGAAATCAAATCTGTATACATGGCCTCACGTGACTCTGTGTCGACTACAATGTACTGTACATGACCATCAAAATTTGATTCAAATTGGCACACGAACCTTTTGTACCACAAACTGAAACCAGGTGGTAAGAGAGAAGGAAACAGCCACTTTTCCAAAACCGTACAATTTAAAATGCTTGCAAAAACTTCGTTAGGGATCGGAGAACGGTACCCCAGATTTTCTGTTTTTGCACAATTCGCCCAACTTTTGTCGATGTTCGTGCACCAACGAAAAGCGAGGGTTCCGAAATCCCAGTGACGGACTTTCATTTACTGTACATGTACAAGTATATCCCATGATGGAGGGAATAATCTACATGTTTGATGCGGAAAAGACACAGTCTCCTGTACCGTACCGGTATACGTACCGGCTTTTGCTTCTACGAAGTTCTACACCCAGCATCATGAGAAAATAATTGCCGCACATACAGTTTTCCCACACTGATCGCGCTCCGTATTTCCCCAAACGACAAGTTACAGAAAGATAGAACACCCATGGAAACTAATAAATCTGCTACTTCATTGAATTCTTTATAAAAAGAAACTTTTGCAATACGGTAAGCGTATCTAGCCTCATACACATAGAATAGTTTTTTTTTTCAAAAACTAAAACAAATTGTTACTGCAACACCTGAACCAGAAAGATCAATCGAATTCATCAGGCCCATCGTTCAAAACGGAAAGACAATCGCCGCAACGAAGTCTACACCTATGACCGCCATTGAATGGGTCCGTTCTATTTGTATTGGAGTGTTTCGACCTATTTTAGTGCTGTTAAACCGGGGACATTTCGATAAATACGATGGATACATAAATGTTATACGGTGTAGCTCAGGACGATAAGCACAATGACGGCGCTGACTTGTACGAGTCTCGGCAGGCCTATAAAAGCACGGCTATCAACTCGCATTGGCGTGTCTGTTAGGCTTTAGTCCGCAGCAGTAGCGCAGCGATGCAGCTGAGTCACTCGCGGCCGAACCCATTTCAGCCTGAAATTCAGATGCCCCTACGATCACCGACAAACAAATAAGAGCAAGCAAATTTAAACCCCTAACCCTTTTTTAAATCTTAGCCTTTCAATCCATAATAGCTAAATCCGAGTGCTAAATCAGAGTCTCACAATAATAGACTTCGACCCAATAAAAAATATTAGTGATTGCCGCTTCAAGTTTAAAACAAAAGTCCGGTGTCGAAGGAAACGAGATACCGGTTTTACCGCACAAAGCTAACTTACTACTCTTTTTGGTAAACAGGTTGGCAGATCTCCAACCTAATTGTAGTGGCGTGACATCTGCAGCCGTTCTCGCAGACTCTCCAGTTGTTCACTTGTGGTTGACGGACGCGAAGCATTCGTCGCAGCTCCACGGTTGGCACTAAACGCATGGAACGAAGTAAAGCTGCGACCTCGGGGCTCCGCAGACAACATAGTTTCAGCAAGTGACGGAGCCGCTGACGCATTCCTCGATGTGCGCGGGGCGATGCCGCTATCTCGCGGTGGGAACAGGCGTCGCGTGAGACTCTCCTCGGGCACAGTAGCCACGCTATTCGCTGCACTACTGGCACCAAAATGCGTCGTGATACGCGGTGGAGCAGCAGACGCGACACTGTTGCTGGTGCCGTTGCTACGGCTACCGTTCTCTCCGTAACGCAGCGCCGCGGACTCGACAGCATCCTTCTCTTGCTGGTCAATGCCCATTTCTTCCAGAGCTTGACGCACAGGAGACGTAGGGCGGCAGGTCCTTCATCGAGGCCTCAAAGGCACTCGCTCTCGTCTTCATCAAGCTCTCGGCCATAATCTTCAGTGCCGAGCGCATATTATCGTTAGCAATATCCACCATCATGACTTCCGCTCCAGGTAAAGTCGAGAGACATGTGCATCTGCATGAGCACGCCGAAGATGTCGATCTCCTCAAACGGCGTCAGCGAGTTCGCTTGGACATTCGACAGCTTGAGTAAGATTCGACCCACGAGCTGGTCCAGCGAGTCCTCCTTCAGCAAGTGCTTGAGCGTGTCGTTCTTGTTGTAGTCGCCCACATCATTGTGCATCAGACGCTGCAGGAGATTGATCACCGACGGATAGACGTCGCCCGCCTTTGCTCTCTCCGTCAGCTTCCGCATCGCCTTGTACAGCGCCTTGAACACCATGAGATAGCGCTTCTCTTCGGGAGGCAGCATCGCGATCTCCGCTGCAGTCAGATTCGCCTTCTCTGCAAACTTCTCCATGCGCGGGTCCATGATCTTCGAGCACAACTCCAGCAGCACTCGCTCCACCGTGTAACGCTGCATGCTCGTCACCGCGTCGCTACTGAACACGACGGTGAGCGTCGTGATGCTGATCGCGAGGATGTACATCTCCGGTCTCTTCTCGGCGTTGCCGGCGTAGAACGCGCCATGGATACAGTCACACAAGGCCAGCACAATCTCGTTCACGTACGAGTGCAAGAACTCAAGCTCCGCCGGGTCGGACGGCCGGTTGATTATCGCATACAGCCCTTTCAGCGCATTGCCGCCTTCCTTGTACGCAGGCGAGCCCGCCGGCACCACCTCCTTGGACGAGTTGATCAGCATCTCAATCGGGCGCAGCAGCAGCTCCTCAATGACGGCACTCTGAGCCTCTGACTCAGCCTCGTGTTCGAGTGCGTCCATGTCCACATTGTGCGATTCAGAGCTAAATTGCGGAGCTGCCGACTCCACCACTGGCTGCTCCTTGACTGGGTCCGACCTCGTCGTCGTTGGTGCTGTTGTCGCAGCAGCAGCTCGTCCAAAGCCAAAGCCAAATCCTGTGCGTTGAGGACGCTGCTGAGGCTCTGGAGCAACCTCCTGCGTTGCAGCCGCTTCGCCCTGGAGAGTGCTGGCCGGTAGATGCTTAAGACGCGCGTTCAGCAGGTCCATTCCCTGCTGTGTGGTGATGCCCGCAAAGCGGAAAAACTTGTCTGGATTCCCGCCTTCCGTGCGCATGTACACAGCCACGAGCGTGTTGATGGCACTCTCTCGGAGCTCCTTCTCGTGCGCCACGACGAACTTGCCCACGTCCTTGATACACTTGCGCCCGAGCACTTGGTATCCATGCAAACCGACGATATACTCGACCAGATCGATGCACTCGCACCTGCTCTTCATGTTCTTCGACCCGTTGAAACACTCCATCAGATACGGGACGTACTTGTCGGGGCTGTACACCGCCACAACCAGCTTCATGACGTCACGGAAGCGGACGCGGAAGCGCGGCTTCGACTGGCCGCTTTCCTGCAGAAGATACGGCAGCAGAATCGCCGCCTCGACGTCCTCCAGTTGATATCCAGACTCTCGCAGCATCTCGAACAGCTTGACCAGCACTTCTAGCAGCTTCGCCAGCGCTTGGACGTTGTTGTCCACGATACGAAGACTGCACCACTTCATCACGAGGTCCAGCGCCGAGATCACTTCGTCTGGCTGATGGACAACACACAGCGTCAGTTCGTCCATGGCAGCGAGCATCCCCTTCTCCAAGGAAGGCGCGAACAACTTGGCGTGGAACTCTGGCGACAAAAAAGGCTTCCACTCGGCCTCGATCTCACTCTTGCGCGCGTTCATCTCACTCGTTGACGTCGTCTCGAAGATCCACTTGTTGTATTGGCCCTTGGACAGTCTCGCCGGCTTGTTCGAAGTCATCTTCAGCAACGGCGCCGTCTTTGTCGAAGTCTCCGGTGCTAGCGAAGCTGCTGCCGGAGGAGCACGAAGCGAGCTGGGACGCGTAAGACGCGACTTGACGGGGGTACTGCCCGCCGCTACACTCGCTCTTCTCTTAAGTCCGCCACGCTCCAGCCCACTGGCTACAGGAGGCGCTACAGAAGGTGCTGGGGCAGACACCGTAGCAGATAAGCTCGAACCTCCACTGGTGTCAACTGTGTCGCTTACTTTCTGCAGCAAAGGCTTGAGAGCGCGCATGGCCGCTGGCTTAATATCCCGACACCCGGTCGTAAACACCACGTCCTTGCCCACCGACTTCATGACTTCAATCAGCACAAGCTGCGCCTTCTCACGCGCCTCGGACGACTTGTCCATCATGCACTGCACCGTGGGAGCCACCAGACAGCTCAGATCCAGTTTTTCGCACTTCTGCAGGTGCTCTACAGCCCATCCGAGCAGCTCAGCTCTGCCCACAGTGTTCGAAAGACCTTCCGATAACGGAGCCAGTAGACTCTCCACACACACGCTTGACGTCTCGTTGTTGTGTCGAACCCACTTGTGGAGAGCCTGCACAGCCGCAGCTTGCATCGTCTTCTTGTTGTCGGCCACACCGGCGACCAGACTCGCGCCCAGAACCTTCGACATCTTGGCGATGTCGGGCCCGACACTCGCAGCCACGACTCCAATGACGTTCGCAGCCTTCACCTTCAAGTTGGCGTTCGAGTCGTTCAGACGAGCCTTGAGCTGGCGGAGAGCTTCTTGCACAGGCCTCGTGAACTCAATCGCGCAGCCGGCGCCTTCACAGATGGCTTGGACGCTATCCATGGCCTCTGCGCGCTTCTTCCACGCCACCTTGTCCTTCTCGTTCTTCATGTCTTCCAGCAGCTCCTTGGTGATCTGGCTACTCACATCGACACGCCCGAACAGCGCGCCGGGGTCTGCGGCAGCCGGTGCCGCGTCTTGGCTTTTCACTTGGCGCTTAATCGTCGCCTGGGCCTTGGCTGGATCGAAGCCCACCTTCTTGAACTCGTCTTCTACAGTCTTGGCCAACGCAGGCTTCCAGCTCTCCAGGTTCAAGATCGGAAGCAGCGCTGGGCCCAATTGCGAGTACATCGTACCGAGCAGCGCCGTCGCAGCGCTGCGAACCTTCGGGTTGGACCCTTCCAGGCCTTGTGGACCCTTCGCGTAGTCAATAACAGCGCGAGGATTGCAGATGGACACGCCAAAGTCCTTCACGCAGTCCGACAAGACCACGAGCGCCTCGATGTGCGCTAGCGGCAGGCGGACCTTCGGCATGTACTCGATCATGCATCCAGTCGTATACGCGGGACTGGTAGCCTCGCAGAACTGCACGAGCATCCCTCGCACGGCCTCGTTCGCCTTCCTGTCGCCAATCTTGTCGCACGCACGCGGAGTCACGAGGCAAACAACACCACGCGGAAACTTGCCCGCTGCAGTCTCCGCCAACGTGCCCACAGCTTGGAACGCGCTCTTCAACACGTTGATATTGCTGTCCTTGAAGTCCTTCACTTGCGTCGATAGGTACATCGCAAACGCCTCGATCACGCGCACAGTCATCACTCCAGAATTCGCTCTCGCATACTCCTCCAGAGCTTCAATCGCAGCTTTGCGCTCCATCCACTTGGAGCTGGCGAATCCTTCCTGGATCGAGCTCCAGTTCTCCAACTCAAGCTCCGCAATAACGTCCTCTGCTTCCTCTGCGGTAACCGAGATGGCTATTGGCGTGAAGTCAGTGCTCGCTCCTCCCGACGAACCAGCATTTGATCCAGCGGCAGGTTTTCTAGAGGAGGCTGCCTTCGATTGCGCGCTTGGAGTGCCAGGCTTCGCTCCCAGTCGACTAGGAGGCCCACGCTTCTTCAACGACGGGCGTCGTAGGCCCCCAGGAGCGGGCGTGCTATCCATCTCCACATCCCCATCAGGCTCTGACGCCTTAGAGCCGCCGAAACTCGAGCGACTGGCAGCACTTCCCGCACTACCTGGACGCGACGGCGGGGCGCTACCAGGACGAGAGGTGGCACTTCCTGGTCGAGAAGATTGGGCACTGCCAGGACGAGACGAAGCGGTGGACGCAGCGCCAGCCCCCAGCGCCTTCTGGATAACCTTAAACGCCCGTGGATTCTTACGAGAGATCTCGTCCAACATGCTCTGCAGCCATCCAGCCGTCTGCTCGGTGGCTTGCAAGAGTACAATAAAGTCCTTCTGCCCCGCTTCACGCACCTTGGGGTCGCTATCGTCGATGCCCTTCATGAACATCGCTCCAAACGCCACGACCAGCACCTTGTCGTTCAAATCCACATAGCGATTCTCCACCGCGCGAGTCAAGAACGCCATCGTCTGGACGCGCGCAGGCGGCGCCTTGTTCTTAGACGCATCGCACGCCAGTCTCAGGTCCTCCATCATCAGGTCGATCGTCATCGCATGCTGCAGAAACAAGTCCAGCGTCTTGTTCGTCGCGTTCAAAATGACCGACTTCTTGTCCGAAAGCTTGCGCAACAACTCGGGGAACATCATCCGCGCATACTGCGTAAAGTTCTTCCGCAGACCGTCCGCCAGCGCTCCAAACACTTCAATCGACTTGGCCACAATGTTGACGTTCGAGTCATTCGTCAGTGCCTTCAGCGTCGACACGAGTTCGTAGTACTCGCCATTCGCTAGCTTCGGTACGGGGCCAATCAGCTCCAGCACGATCTTCAACGCCTCCACCTTTTCACTCCACTTGGGTAGCGCCAACTTGGTCTTAAACTCCGTCTTCGGGAGCTTCGCAAGTAAATCCACAGTCTCTGCAAAGTCACGAGGGTCGAACGCTGGGGCGGCAGGCTCAGCCGTATGGGATACACCACTCGAAGGCTTCCCGCCTGCAGCTTTAGCAGGTTTCGCGCCTCTAACGAACTTGGTCGGAGCTGCCTGACCAGCTGTGACATCCTTAGTCTGTTCCTCAAACTCCGTCTGCTGTGCTTGTCGTAGATTGGCTACAATGTCCTGTACGAGCGCAGGGCCAGTCCAGCGATGGATCTCCACCATAATACTCATCGCTATCGGCCGCACCTTCACTGCTCCTTCCATCAGCTTCGGTAGCGCTGTTTTGATAGCTTGCAACGGTACAACACGCGGCCCGTATTCCTTCAGCGCGTCCAGTACACACGTCGCACAAGCTGGAGGCACTTTCGGCTTGCGGTTGTTCGTGCCTTCCAGCAGCGCCGTCACCGTCTCCTCTGCGGCGCCTGCAGCGATAAACGCGTCGGTCAGCTCTGTACACAACTTGACGATGCCCGGTCTGGCCGAGAAGCCTTTATCTGTGACGCGCGCCATGACGCCGCCCACGATGTCCTTGTCAAATGGCTCCACGTTCAAAGTGTACGCAAGTACCGCGGCAATCCCCGCTTCCATGGCACTGGCGTTGGCGTCCTCGCACATCTTAAACAGCTCCATCGCCGGTCTCACGAGGCTCGTCTTGACTCCTGGCTGTTCGAACAGCGTCTTGAGCTCCTCGAAGCCTTCTTTGCGTACCTTCCAGTTCTTGTCTGAGAGTTTCGGCAGTACTGCGTCGATTGAGACAGCATCTCCTGGTCCTCCTGGACTGTCGACCTCCATATTAGACAGCGTGGAGGCAACACTCTCCATCTGCGCGTCTTTCAGCGTCGGAGACGACTCCATGACGACGTCCTGCGCTGTATAATCGGCGATAGTGATGTCTTCCATTGGAGTATCCATGTGGACGCTTTGTGGGGCTGGTGGAGGCCTCGTAGCGGCTCGTAAAGGCGGAGAATTGGCCACCACACTCTGCTTCTGGGACGGGACAGGCGGCGAGTTGGCCACGCCGCCGAATCGAGGAGGTGGAGGCGCTGCATCTTGAACTCCGTCCTCCTCTTCACCTTCTCCGTAGTTGATGTTGGATGAAATGGACTTGGAGATGTTCATAAGAGACGCCACGTCGAAGCCAGCACACATGCTGCACTTGCAGCTGGCGTTGCGGAGGCATTTCTCGGCCATTCTGGCGGAGACTTGTACGGATAGAAACTATATACGGTGAGGAAGATGACGCGATAGGTTGTGGTCCGCGCAGAGGCGTGTGGGGCGAGCTGCGACGCTAGGATGGCAGCGGCCAGGAAATATCAAGCTTGGGCGCACGTCCTTCCGCCCCAAAAGCGAATTTTTGTCTGCGAGTTGCGGAATTTGAATTTTTAAAGTGTATGCGACATGAAGAGTCTTGGTCAATGAATGAGAAAGAAGGAATGATGGTCTTGCAATGGTGAAATTTGCTCCCGCCAAAAAGTTGCAGTGGCAGAATGTGCACCGGCGACGCTGAGGCGTCCAGCCTCATGCGCTGGTTGAACTTCTACGCTGCCAATGCACAGGAAGACTGCGCTAGTATCGTACTACGCCTCTTAAAGCTCGCGTAGGCAAAATAAATATCGAAATTTCGGCCAAAATACATGAAATACGTTTATGGCTAACGTTATATTTACTACTGCGGGCATGATTCGCGCAGATTTCCAGCCACAGTCGAAGAATTGAAGGCTCTAAGCGGGTGGAAAGCTGTGATAGCGGCATTAGAGGGTTTCTATGAGACCAATCTAGCTGTGGACGTGGAGAAACTGGCAGGTGGGCTGAATAACATGCTGACGACGCTGCTGCAGCTAGTGCTAGGCGCAGTAGTGCAGAGCGAGACCAAGGAGACGTTCATCAAGGACATTCTGACCATGGAGGACGCAGTGCAGTCCGATCTCATGGGTATTATCAAGAGAGTGATGGTACAAGGAGTGTTGGTCCTCAATGTTGAAGTTGCGGACGAGACCAGCAGAACGGAGAGAGACGCGCCAGCGATCGGCTCTCCGCTGTATTTGTCGAGAAATGCCGTTGTGGAGCGCGTCCAAAGGGAAAACGAGGTGCTGAAGGACGAAAATGTACGTGAAAAAGGGTAAAAAAACAAGAAATTGATGATAAAAACTAACGACAAGCACACAGATCCACCTTGCTCAGAAAATGGAGCAGGCAACCAAGAAATTTCATGAGTTGGAGCGTGAAAATGTCAAGTTGGTGGACATGATGCAGGGTTTGAAGCAGCAGATGGACGCCGAAGCTGTGAAGAGGCAACGAGCGTTGCATTCTCAGTACAACAAACGCATTAGCTCTCTTCAACGTGAGCTGGAGTCGACAAAAAACGAATTACAAGACAAAGAAGCGCTGGCGAGCCGAGTTCCGGTCTTAACGGATGAGGTGGATCTATTGCGGCCTATTGCCGAGAAGATGAAGAAGATGGAGGCTACAGTGGCCAAGTATAAAGCGAAGGTCGACGCGCTGTCTGGAGCCAAAGACATGCTACAGGTGCGTTCGTTTTTGACTCATGTACTTGAACTTGTTGTGTGCTGACAGCCTTGTTTAGCGACTGGAAAGTACGAACGCAGAGCTGGTAAAGAGGAATCTCGTGCTTGAAGGCGACGTGGCCAAAGCTGCGACGTGGCAGCGGAAACTCAAGGAGGCGAAGGAGGCAAAGACTGCGTTGGTACGTTAAATATTCTGATACCTTTGTCGCTCCAAAGACTAACACGAGTGTTGGTGACTAGGAGATGCAAGTAATCGAGCTGGAGTCGACACTTGCTCATGAACGAGAAGAAGTTCGGCGGACTCGTGCCGAGATTGAAGCCATTCAAGGAGTTTTACACGAGTCCAGGGCTCTGAACACCCAGTTACAGATCTCAGATCTTCAGCTAGCGGACGTAGCAGCAAGCAGCAACTCCTGTCCCACAATAACTAGTGGCATTAGCGAACTGAACCCGGAGCTCATGCAGAGATTGACGCGCTTGGAATTCGAGAATGTCGCGCTGAAGAAGCAACTTGACAGCGCAACAGAAGCCAGAGTGGATCGCCTGGTGGACGAGCTGGACGATTTGACTCGATTGAAGCAGTCTTTCGAGAAGAAATACCTCGACACGCAGCAAACGCTTCAGTCGACGCAGTCTGAGCTCAAGCAAACAAAGGAACAATACGCGTCACTAGTAACAGAGCGAGATTGTCTAGCAGCTGAGCTCTCCGATAGTACGGACCGGAATTACCAGCTGGAATTGGGAATATCGAGACGAGATCAGCAAGTATCGGACTTGCGGGATGCCAGTGAAGCCTTAACACGTCAGAACGAGCAGCTAGCAGCGCAATACGAATCTTTAGCAAGACGACAACAAGACGCTGAAGCTCGCCAGGTTGAATGCACTGGCATGCAAGTGGAGGACGCTAGAGCGGATCGCATGCGCTTTGAAGAGCAGAAAGCTCAAGAACTGGACCAAGTTTGTCGACATTATGAGGCTCGTATGACTGTGTTGCTTAGCACAAAGTCCGCTGAGATAGAGAATCTGACGTCAAGGTTGCAAGAGGGTAAGCTAAAGTATGGCGAAGACCTGAAACAACTGGAAGAAGCTCGCGCATTATTCACGAATAAGCTGGAGCAATACCAGGAGCAATATTCACTCTCGAACGCAGACTGGAGCGCAAAGGAAGCTCAGTTAAACTGTCGAATCGTTGAGCTGGATAGACAATGCAAACAACAGGAAAAGTCGCTGAAATCGACGATCCGAAGTCAGCTGGAGTCGAATACTCGGCTAGTGGAGAGGAATAAAGCCATGAAGGTCGATGCGCTTGACAAGAGAGAGACAATTGCAAGACTTCAGAACACAATCTCGCATTTGGAATCCAGAGTGGCTCTTCCGGAGAAGGAACGAAGTCACTTGAGTAGCCAAGATGAGCGGAACACAAATGCAGTGAACGAAATCTCGTCGTACTCTTGTCAATTGAGTACCCAAGTGAACTTACTTTCGGCTGAACTGGAGAGCGTTCTCAAGGAGAATAAAGACCTTTATGTGAAGCAAGTATGGTGTCATCAGTCACCTCTAAAAACAAATACTTGCGACTCGGCGACGAGCTACTATTTGACTCGCATCCAGCAGGTGGAACACGACAAACAGCAAGTAGAACACAAGCGTCGAGAACTGCTGCTCGTGAACGCCAAACTCATCCAACAGCAGAGGCAGCTTCACGTCAAAAACGCTAGTCTAGCTGATCGGATTCTTGAACTGGAAGAGTCTGTCACCCACTGGCGGTTGCGTGTTGAAAGAAGAAAGACGGAGGAAGAGCAGTCTAAGGCTCTTGGCAACGAGCTACCAGCTCCCGAACTCCCCACCGAAGGCGGTAGAAAGCGCAAACATGTGGCAGAAGACAGCAGCTTCTTAGAGCCCGCTCGAGCTGCTGAGTCCAGCTCGGAAGCTCGTCCGAAACATCGATTCGTGCGCTATAAGAGCATCCCAGAGGAGCCATCTGAGTGCAAGCAACAGTAACAGCGTCAGCGAAATGTAAATATTGACAGCGACAAGTCGAATATTGTAAGTTGTGTCATGTAAATTTCAGGTTACTCTCCAGCCTGTCTCCTTAGAAATAGTAAGGTTTCTGTCCACACTCCGTTCCTCCTTCTTGAAGGTAGTGGCAATACTTGTCCTCGGTACATGTAGCCGTACTGTTGCCACACTTGGTAGCGCCGTTAGCATCATCCACTGCATCAGGTGGAGCACAGACGCAGTTCTCGCCTGCTCCGTGGAGACAGAGACACGTGAACTCCCGCTTACAGACTGGTGGGTCGCCAATCTTCCTGTTAAGTTCCGCCACTGGGTCACAGACACCCCAGGGCACCACGGCTGTCTCTTCGATCAGGAACGGGTTGTCCTCCATATTGCTGGGGTCGTAGGCCAGACAGGATGGAGCATTGGCGAACATCTCCTGGCCAGGCTCCATCCTGCAGACAAAGTTCTTGTTAGCGCACATGGGCAAAGTGTTGTCCGGATAGTCGCAGTCATCACCATCCGCCACCACGTGGACAAAGTATTTGACACTGGGGTGAGCTACAGGGGCTTGTCCAGCCGTCACTTCCATGCGTATTTTATTTTGTAAAGGCGCAGCAGAGGCCAGCGAAGCCGCTAGACTGGATGCTGCCGCGACGACGCCTAGGAGTTGCATGCCTCTCTGATACCGCTGTTTTTCACTTTTGCTGGCTCTAGAATTAGAGACTTTTGAGTTACAGATAAAGAGCTGTTTTCTGTAGCCAGTAATCTGGAAGTCTTGGAGTCCAAGTTGGACTATCTGAAACATATGGGCAGCATACCAGCACCAATCACCTGTCCGCGATAGGCTGTCCCAAAACGAAAAGAGAAACCACCGCAATATTAGGATTCAGGAGTTAAATGTAAAATTTTGCTGGAAGATAGCGAGCTCGATTTTTAATATAAGAAGAGTCACTGCAATTGAGGTCTGCAACTGCAAACACTAAACGTTCACTCATTCATAAAGATCTCTTCACAGATCTAGGCGCTTCCGTCCTCTCCGTCGTCCTCAACGCAGATACCGAAGTTGTCGTAGTCATCACATGTGAGACCTGAGTCGCACACACCGTCGTCCGAGCAGTCGCTATAGAGCGACGTGCTGCTCGGCAGATACGGGGCTGAAGCGCACTCCTGGTACGAGCCCTTGGTGCGGCAGTACTTGCCCTCATCACACGATCCCACCTCTCCACTGGACGTGGTGCAGTTGTCAGCTGTAGCGCGACCCGTGCGCCAGGCATCGGGCGGTGAGCAGTAGCAGTCCACGTTGGCGTAGTCCATGCAGATGCACTGGAAGTCGAAGAGGCATTTGGAAGGCAGCGACGCGTTTGATTGGCTGCACTGCATCCAAGGCATCGCAGTGCTGCTATCCACTGAGTCCAGGAACGAGTCGTCGCGCTCGAGACACTTCTGAGCGCCCGTTCCGTCGTCCTGGCACGCGTATGACGCGCTCTGACACAGCAACACGTCGCCGCCATTGGGGCACGTAGCGTTGTCCGCGATGACTGTCACTTCACGAAACTTCATGTGGTGGTGGTGGTGCACTTTGTAGTGTGAGGCCATGGCGGGAGACGCCAGCAACGCAAGAGCGACGAGAAGAGACGAGTGCATTATTGATCGAGGCGGATTATCTCACTTGCTGTCGATGAGGCGGATCGAAAAATGACTTTGATACAGGACGACAGGAGGAGGATCGTGAAAGGTGATAAATCAGATTTGTTACCTTGTGTATGACTCGTTTTGGATTTGAAAAAATGGGCAAAGAAAGAAATGGATTTGATAAGCGAGACAGTACTTAGGACACTTAGGACCGCAGCTGCAATCCTGACGTGCCAAAAAAATGGATACTGCGCCACCGGTAGCCACAAAGACATAATTATTATTTTTATTTTCAAAAGGACCTAATAAATGCATTTTTTTATTGCTGCTCTCCAAATGGTGGCGGTGTCCGAGTTGCAATAAACAGCGCCATTGTCTCGGTGTAGATATTTTGCTTCTCGTTTTTTGCGTCTACCTTGAACTCTCCAAAATGTTTTCGCGGAAGTCATTTTGTTTTCACTTTTTTTAGGTAGTTGTTGAATGGATCCATCTGAACTGGAATGAAAAATCACAGCCTACCGTACATCAGAAAAAAAGTGTCAGCCTTCACCTACAAAATGACATCTGCAAACCCGACTTACCAAAATGAGTAACTCGATACGTCAGGGTCATCAATATCCACATCACCAACGTCGACTGGACAAAGAGCATTTGGGTCTCCAACACAAATGCCAGCTGATACAGCGCGTTGATTCCGCAATTTCGCTGTGTGATTACAGCTAGCACAACGAAAGATACGAGCTCCATTAAAACATAAACAAATATTCGAGAGACGATTCCTTCAACATTGTCACGCGTCACACTGGCCAAATCTGTATGATACTGAGCGTTGGGGGAATGAGCCATTGCGAGAACGAATGCACCATAGACCGTAGGAACGAAAATTTCCAAATACTCGGAAAGAATAAGGCACTCCGACGTGAAGAGAACTTGGAGCGCTTCTTGAACAATGATCGATTTCTCCGCTTGGGTTGCAATTCTACTCTCGATCTTTCGAGCGAACTTAGGTGGGATTTCCTCTATACACGGTGAGTTTGGTTGCGCAGTAAGTGGTGCGACTGTATTGATTCTCCGAACGCAGCACCTAATCCAGTCCCATGAATTGCCTGGATCCTCTGAAGTAACTCTGGAGCTGATCCGTGAAGATGTGTTAAGATTATGTGGAATTGAGCTCGCCGCTGATCTGGTAGCTGAAATCCGCTCGAGTCTACTAAGTAGCGATCTGCCCTCTTCGGACAGGCGGTGGTCAATGCACGAACGTACTTGGATTTTCTTCAAATTAAGTCCACATTGATCCAATACGTCGGAGCTGCACAATTCTCGCATTGCCACGAGTAAATTGAAATTCCTAGAATCTGTCGAGTGTCCTTGAACGTAAAGTCTGGATAAAATACGTCTCGTTTGTCGATGAAGTTCGTGAAGTTCAGTTGCTGTCTGTAGTAGATCAACAGCCATGACGGCACCAAGAGCTAGTGACGACACACTTTGTAAAGAAGTGACTAGGTAAACAGCGTCGAAAAAGTCGACTGTAAACACAACTTGGGCTGGAATCGTATCTTCTTTATGAGTCGCAGCAGATGCGAAAACCACTATTATCACAAGTCGAAACAGCGGAAGAAGCAGGAGAACGGGTATCTCGTACATTGTATAGTTTGCCTTACTGAAAAGCACCTGATAAGCCGGGTATGCCACGTACATGAAGCTTTGCAGTGATCCAATCCTGCACAACCGACGAAGATTATCACGTTGCAACGATATCTGCTGAAATCCACGAGATCCCACAATAATTCTGAAGTATATCAAAAGAAAACATGTCGTTATGGTGGCCAGAGTAAACATGAAGAACGGGATCGGAAATACCCATAATTCCGCCGTCACCATACCAACAACGACGTAAATTACACTCATGAAAGCACAATAGCAAGATATCTGCTTTAGAGAAAACGGAGGGGCATCCAGCCAAAAGCCGATCTGGATTGCGGCAGCGTAACCTACTCCAGCCCCGAGTAATCCTGCTCGAATCCAGAATCCAACGTTATTTTCCCACCCTTCAGCTGGATCTTGAAGCGGGATACTTTCTTGGCCGAGCAATAGAGCGATTATTACTAGAGGAGCACCGATGACAACAAGTAGAACGCGGTCGACTGATGTGTTCCGAGTGTATTCCTCAAACGCCAGCAATCGTTCAATCGAGTATTTCCCTCCGAAATGTGGAAGTTGTAAGGCAAACCACGCGTTGATAAACCTCGAAATCCGCGGCTTTATGACGTCATGCATCGCGTTTGTAGGGCGAGCTGCCGTGGGCATTATCGTCAGTCGTGTTAAGTGGATCAAAGACACAAAGCATACATCGAGTTGTCAAATGACTGTGGAAGTATTCATAGATCACCCTAAAATGTTTAGACATTGAAACTCTAATTCTGGGCATTTTGGGACCCTTATCCTCTAATCTGTCGGTGAAAGGTCTATGGTTGCTCAGGGTTGAGTTTAACCTTAGCTCTTAATTTATCCATTCGAACTCAAACGAGAAGTCACAACCTGTTCAAAACAAATTTTAATATCTTAGCAACTAAAAAAAACAGATTCCAAATACGTACCGAAATGCACCACACGGTATGTCAAGGTCAGCAGTATCCACATCATGAGTGTCGATTGAATAAACAGTGTTTGTGTTTCCAATACAAACGCCAGTTGATAGAGTGCATTGATTCCACACGATCTCTTTTTGAGCCTTGCGAGAAGGATAAAGGACCCAAACTCTATCAACGCGTACCCAAATATTCGAGAAACGACATCTGTGGCGTTGGCTTCACTCACCCCCGCCAATTCTGTGTGGTATTTGGCGCTCGGAAGGCGAGCCATCACCAGCACAAAAATGCCGTAGACCGTTGGGACGATAACCTCCATATACTCGGACAGCACAAGACATTCCGAAGTAAACAACACCTCGAGTGATTCTTGCAGCACAATTGAAGTATCCACCGCGGATTGCTTACGGACACGACTAGAGGTTTTCTGCTGGACCGCGGACAATTTGTCGCCAGTTCTTGTAGACGAGAATAAAGGAGAATTCGTTAAGGCAGGTTTTCCCGCAACTTTACTGCCAAGGCAACAATCTGCGCTTACTTTGGGGCTCGGAGCGACAATTGCAGCTCTAGATAACGTCTTTAGGTTGGACTGGTATAAGTCGCCACATGATCTCGTGCACAGACACTTCTCAAGTTTATCCACTAACGCTCGGCCTTCCTCTGACAATTGATGATACATACAAGAGCGAACTTGGATTGCCGTTGTAATTTGCAACCCAATGGCGCCAATTTTGTTGCACATTTCTTTAACAGCTTCATGAAGAGTAGCAGTTTTACTCAGTTCCACAGTGCGCAGCTGACGGATCCGCGATAGAATTCCCCCAGCTCGTTGACGGAGGTCGTAGACCTCGCTTGCTGTTTTAAAAAGATCGGTCACCATTACTGCAGTTAGCGTCAAAGGAGAAAGGGCTTGGATAAACGAAGCGAAATAAAAGGCATCGAAAAAATCGATCGTAAACACAACTTGAACCGGTATCATGCAGGGATGCCGAATATTGCATTTTTATCTATTGCTAATCAAAGCAGAAAATAAATAATTGGGTTAGAGAGCTGACTAGACCAAAATAGATTATTGAACTTCCTCAGCTCAAAAAATAGATTATTGGTGCAGCAAAATTGGTACACAGCGAGGGCACCAGTATCAAAGAATGTATGGCCAATAAAACACCGCCCAATAGATTATTGGTGCTACAACGGGAGCGAAAATAAATAATTGATCTTCCTCTCCAGAAAGTCTCCAATAGATAATTGGTGCTTTCTTATTGCAATAATTGCAGCACCAATTTATTTTTCGGCATCCCTGCCAGGGAGGGATTCCCTGGTATCATTCTGCGCAATCGCACGCACGAACATCAGAGTCGGACGATCGGGAGAATCATGAGTACCGGGATCTCGTACGAAGTGTGGCTTGTTGCATTGAAAAGAATTTGGTACGCTGGATACGAAACGAACATGATAGCCTGTACCGTTCCAACGTTTCGAAGCCGGTGAAGCTGCTCTTGTCGAGCCATTATATGCCGAAAGCCTTGGGCGCCCACTACATGTCGCATGTATGCCAAAATGACAACTGTCGTGACGATAGAAACGCTAAACATGAAAAAGGGAACCGGAAATATCCCAATTCTTGCGAATATCATTCCAGCAGCAATGTACACGGCTGCCATTAGCACGCAAGACACCAATATCTGATGCAGCGTGAATGAGGGAACATCGACCCAAAATCCGATCTGAATTGAAGCTGCATTGCCTATTCCAACGCCCACCAACCCGACACGAGCCCAAAATCCGTAGTTTGCTTCCCAACCAGCAGCAGGATCTTGAAGTGGAACACTTTCTTGACACGAAACCAGAGCGATCACAAGGAGTGGGACGCCAATAATTACGAGTATGACTCGAGCGAATGGTGTTTTCTTGGTGTACTCTTCGAGCGCCAACATCCTCTCAACTGAATATTTGCCACCGAATGCTCGACATGTAGCGTAAGCCACGCATTGACAGCTTTGTGAATTCGGATCGGAGGAAGACACATAGTCGCTTTCTTCTTGTCGATGCAAGCGAGGCTGGTGTTGATTCAGCCGACTTCTTCATGTGTAGCTCATTTATGGGGGTACTTCCTGTTGTGTACCCAATTTAGAATGTTGTTAGTCGAACGAAAAAGAAATGCTATTTTAAAGAGGATTTTTAGATAACGTGCAAGAATAGCAACTTATTTACAAATTAGTGCTTTGGTTAGAAAAACGCTTTACAATGTTAAAATCCATCATCTCTTTTATACCCACCCAAACTGAAATGAGAAGTCACAACCTATTCAGAACAAATATTAAAATCTCAACAACTAAGAAAAACATATTCCAAATACGTACCGAAATGCACCACCCGGTATGTCAAGGTCAGCAGTATCCACATCATGAGTGTCGATTGAACAAACAGTGTTTGTGTTTCCAATACAAAAGCCAGTTGGTTGAGTGCATTGATTCCACACGATCTCTTTTTGAGCACTGCGAGAAGGATAAAGGACCCAAACTCCATCAACGCGTACCCAAATATTCGAGAAACGACATCTGTGACGTTGGCTTCACTCACTCCTGCCAATTCTGTGTGGTATTTGGCGCTCGGAAGGCGAACCATGACCAGCACAAAAATGCCGTAGACAGTTGGGACGGACCTCCATGTACTCGGACAGCACAAGACATTCCGAAGTAAACAACGCCTCAAGCGATTCTTGCAGCACAATTGAAGTATCCACCGCCGACTGTTTTCGACTTTTCTGTGTATACGCAGACGAGATATCGTCAATTTTCGGAGATGAAAGCAAACGTGGCTTCGATAAATTCGGTTCAACTGCAACTTTGCCCCGAAAACAACACTTGATCCTGTGCGTTCTTGATACTTCATCGTTTGGTACAATGATATTTGTGTTAACCGTAAACGCAACTCGCGATAAAGTCTTGAGGTTATGCTAATACGAGTTAGTGCATGGTTGGGTACACGTGTATCTCTCAAGTTTATCCAGCAGCATTCTACCTTCGTTCGACAATTGATGGTATATACACGAGCGCACTTGAGTCGACTTTGAAATCCGGATACCTAAAACATCAACCCGATTGGACATATCTTTAACGGCGTCGTGAAGATCGTTACTTTGTAGTTCCATTCCAGGTAATCGTCGGATTCGGGAGAGGATTCTTCGTGTTCTTTGACGCAGGTCGTGAATTTCACCTACTGTCTGGAATAGATCGGTCACCATCACAACACTTAAAGCCAAAGGCGAAAGATCTTGAATGAACGAAGCGAAGTAAAATGCATCGAAAAAATCGATCGTAAACACAACTTGAACAGGAATCATGTCCTCTTTATGTGCTGCTGCACGCGTCAACATCAACTTTAACGCCAGTCGGACAATCGGAAGTATCATGAGTACTGGGATTTCGTACCAAGAGCGGGTTGCTCTTGTGAACAACATTTGGTAAGCCGGATACACAATGAACAGGATAGCTTGCACTGTCCCGACCCGATTTAGCCGACCAAGTTGCTGACGACGAGCCATTATCTGTCGAAAGCCTTGAGCGCCAACAACTAGTCTAATGTATGCCAAAATGACAGTTATTGTCACCAAACAGAGGCTAAACATGAAGAACGGGATGGGAAACACCCAAAATTTGGCAAACGTCATCCCAGCCACGATATACCCAGTCGCCATTAACGTACAGTATCCCAAAATTTGATTTAATGTGAATGGAGGTACATCAAGCCAGAATCCGATCTGAATTGATGCTGCATTGCCTATTCCAACACCTGCCAAGCCTGCGCGAACCCAAAACCCATAGTTTGCTTCCCAGCCGTCAGCAGGATCTTGTAGTGGAACGCTTTCTTGACACAGAACCCGAGCGATCACAAAAAGTGGGACGCCAATAATTACGAGTATGACTCGAGCGAATGGTGTTTTCTTGGTGTACTCTTCGAGCGCCAGCATCCTCTCAACTGAATATTTGCCACCGAAATGCTCGACATGTAGCGTAAGCCACACATTAACAGCTCTTGTGAATTGGGATCGGAGGAAGACACATAGTCGCTCCGTTCTCGTCGCTACAGGCGAGGCTGGTGTTGGTGCAACAGCCTTGTTCGTTGTTGACTCAAACTGGTCAAACATACTTGTCGCCGGTGTGTTCCAGTGAATTCGACTACGGGAAACCCATTTCTACCATGCCAAATTTAGCACCTTTGGTGCTTCAATAAAATTAAAAGAGATGCTTTTAATCTTAATTAAGGAAATTGCTCCTCTCATAAAAACAACAGTAGCCGTGTGATTTCATTGGTTGGGTTTATTCCAATCAAATTGAAACGAAATGTCGCAAAGCGAAATAGTAATTAGGTCGACTGAGCAGCAATTTACAATACGAAACGTACGCGGTATGTCAAGGTCAGCAAAACACACAGCATAAGTATCGACTGGGCAAAGAGTGTCTGCGTTTCCAATACAAAAGCCAGTTGATGCATGGATTCCACACGTACTCTTCTTCAGCAGCGCGAGGACGATAAAACTCTACTACTGCGAACGCAAATATTTGCAAAACAATATCCGTGACATTGGCACTATTCACTCCAGACAATTCGGTGTAATATTTCGCAATGGGAAGGTGGGCCATTGCCAATACAAAAATCCCGTAGAATGTCGGAGCGATAACCTCCATGCTCCGGCAGCACAAGGCATTCGGAAGTAAACAACACCTCGAGCTATTCTTGCAATACGGTTATGGTATATGTCGCTGCTTGTGATGTGATGGAACTTCTCTGATAATTAGACGACGAGCTGTCATCAATTATTGGAGGTGTATCAAAGTGGACTCAGTTCTTACGAGAGCAACACTTGAAACGGTCTACGCTAGAGCTAAAAGCAGTTCTAGGAAATACCTTGAGGTTGTGCTGATACGAACTTCTGAAAGACTCAGTGCACACTCCTCTCTCCAATTTATCCACCAACGCTCTGCCTTCCTCTGAAAGCTGATGATAGATGCACAAACGCATTTGAATTCTACTTAGCCTTTGGATATCAGGAGCATTACTTCCGTTGCATAAATCTCTCACTGCATTGAGAAGATCTACATGATAACGACCAGGCAGTCGACCGAGCTGGGATCGAATTCTCTGCGTTCGTTACGGTTTGAAAAAGTCGATCATGCTACATGCAGTGTCAGAGGTGAAAGGGATTGGATAAAAGAAGCGAAATAAAAGGCGTAAAATAATCAACCGTAAACACAACTTGATCTTGAAAACCACGTCCTCTTTATGTGTCGTAGCACGGGCAAATATCAACTTTAGCGCTACTGTAGTTGTACGATCGGAAGAAGCAAGAGTCCCTGGAATTTCGTACGGTGACTGACTGGCTGAAGTTGTTAAGCTGGGTATACAACGTACATGATAGTCTGCACCGTTCCCACTTTACGAAGTCGGCGAAGCTGCTCTCGCCGGGACAAAATCTGCTGAAAGCCCTTTTAACCAGCGACAAGTCTTGTGAAACCCAAAAGAACAATTTCCGCCACGGGGGTCATGTTAAACATAGAAAACGGGAACGAGAATACCCAAAATCTGGCCAGCATCATTCCAGCTGCGGTGTAGCCGATTGTTATTAGAGCGCATCCCCCTCACAATTAACGTGATTGGAGGTTCATCAAGCCAGAATCCGATCTGAATCGATGCTGTATTGCCTATTCCAATATCTGCCGAGCCTGCTCGAGCCCCAAAACCATATACCAGCAGCTATCTTGACACAGAAGCAAAGCGATCACAAGAAGTGGGACGCCTATTGTCACAAGTATTACTCAAGCCTATGGTGTGTTTTTGGTGTACTCTTCGAGTGCCAGCTTCTCTAAACCGAGTATTTCCCGCCGAAATGCTCGAGATGAAATAAAAACCACCTCTTGTGAATTGGGATCGGGGGGAAGACACATACTCGCTCTGGGAGAAGTTAAGGAGCTCCCTTAGCGGAGCTCCCTTAAACAAAAAAGGGATAGCAGATGTTTAGAAAACAAAGCACTATTAATAACAATAGATCGCAGGTACCGGAAGACGCAGCCGGTAGCAAAAGACAGCGAGTTCGTAGTCGCTCCAGATCCCACCAGCAAGGACACGGTATCAATAGCACTCGACGGGTAAAGCCTCGCAATTTATGCTACCCCCCCCCCCCCCCCCCCCAACGAAGCTGTTCCAAATTCAAGCTGCTCCAACATGTCTTTTCTCGAGCTTCTAGGTCAAGACAACACCGAATTTTAGAAAGCGTTCCTACCCTCACGATCTCGGGGATACGCCGGATTGCGAGAACTAGACGAGTAATTCTCAGTGCTATTTATACCTGTATCGCGTTTTTTCTTACGGATATCTTTTATTACAATGATCGCAAACACTTATTTCAAAATACTATTTATTCGTATGGTTTAGAGGATATCTCTTTTTTGTTCAAGGGAGCTCCGCTAAGGGAGCTCCTTAACTTCTCCCACTAGCTCCGATCTCGTCGTCGATACAACAGACTTCTCGTTGCTGACTGAAATTGATCAAATATCTTCTTTACCGTCTTCCAAGGTTTGTGTACTGCAGTGTAGATGAGTCAAAGATAACTATGATTGACCGTATTTCTAGCACGTTCCACCACCGTAAACAAATTAAACAAGTGTTTGTTTTTGGAAAATCTGCAGCAGATACGTTTGCATTTTCACATTGTCTAAAATATCGGGAAAAGCTCGCGGTACATGTTTAAGTATAAGCTGATAATACAGTACTGATATTTTTTTATATTTCGCCCACTTCATCGATACTTAATGAGTTTTTTTCGTTGTGAAATTCAGTGTGCAAGTAATTTACTAACTCACTTTCTTTCATAGCCTAAGAGAGCGCTCTTCGCAATCGTTGCCGCAGCTCTTGGATCTCGCTTGCTGAATAGATCGGCATTTGCTAGCGTCAAAGCTAAATGGGTTACGTAGGGTATTAATAGACATTGCCTTACTCCGTTTTAAGGCTTTGCCTTGCGAAATAATTCAGACATGACTAGAAGCGTACGTACTACGTAGTAAAAGAATGGCAAAATTTAGCTTCTTTGAAAAGACGAGCGCGGCTCACAGAATATGAATCGAAGGTTCATGGCTCGACTGCTACAAATATATTGAGTTCGCTACATTAATCAAAGAAAACTGGAACCGCGGGTTCGCTATCAGTTTGTCTCGTAAAATGGTCGCTCCGGACATGGAGTGAGCACAACTTCTTGCTCCGTGCTACTAGTGACAGATGTCCGTGCAGCGTCAACGCCCTTCCACGTCTTGGAGCGCAGATCACGCCGAGCAAACGCCACTGCACTCATGGCCTTCGCTTGGTGCATACACAAGATGCAGACACTGCACCTGCTGAAGTTTACTGCGCCATTCGTGACATCAACTGGAATCTTGCGCACGACTTGGCACGAGTTGCACACAGCTTTCCGACACACCAGACATCGTCGGAAAGTGGCATTGCTCTTGGGCCCTCCGAACGTGCTTTTACATCGTCCAACACACTCGATCATGGGTGGGAGAGGCGAGTGGTTCCCCGGTTGACTGGCGTCTTGGATCATCCACGCCAGTTTCTTTGAGTACGCCGCGTCACTGGTCATACCGATACCCAGCACGCAGCTCACCAAGACAGGGAAGGCTGCAAACTCCGGGATAATCCCCATCGGAGCAGCGAACCCTTTCATGTACAGCTCGACCTTACCGTTCGGCAGCTCCGTCTTGAGCCAGCATAGAGAGCACTTGGCTCGGATATAGTTGTATTTGGTTAACGGCTCCGCTAGATCCACCGAGTGAACCACGTAGTAGCCCATGCGCTCTCCATGCTGCGTCGTGGTCATCCCCATAGAAATGACCAGACAAGCACCTCGAGTTTTGGCCAGAGGGAGCGTCATACCCAATGTGCAACGTGCCACACCACAGAATCGGAACGGATCGTCTTGCGTAGGTTCCGCAATTGTTGCAAGCCAGTGGAAGTTCTCCATCGCGTCATTTACAACTGCTGTTCTCATCTTCACGGCGTCGTCACTGTCGACGAAGCATCCGTACATCTCGTCGTCCAGCGTCCCCTGTAGCATCCCCACGATCTTTACGGACGGTGCAGATTTGCATGGAACGAGCTGCAAACTGCCGTCCACAGCTCGGATCGACGGGTACGTTGGACGAGGTCCCGACCGCTCGCGGTAGACGATGAGGTTGTCGCGGTGGCCGACATCTTTCCAGGCGCTCGGATCCACGACGCGCTTTTCATTAAACCGGAACCTGTCGTAGAACTCGGTGGTGTCGACTACAACTTGGTCTGCGAGATCCTGAAGACGACGCGCTTCTTCTGGTGAAAGATATAGACGTTCCTGTGTCGAGTGTATTGACCGAGTTGCTCGTTCTGATGACGTCGTGCTGCTCATTGTTTGCTACGAATCCGAGTACTCGGTCAAAATGAAAGTGATTGCTACTACGACATTGGATCTTTTTAACAAAAAAGACGACATGTTGGGATTGGATGTGCCTAAGGTTGGATGCTGCGCTTAACTTCCGCCCAGCACCATTGCAAGCGGCTACTTTGCTTTCGGAGGGTATGCATATCGATCTGAACCGATGTTGCTGCCTGTCTTCATGATAGTGATGGTCACTAAGGATAGGCTGGATTCAGAGAGTGCTCCTTCTGGACAGGAAAGGCGAAGGTTGTATTCACTTTGGTCATTGGGTCATCATTGAACAAGTACCATCAAAGTCGATAGACAGCACGACAAATCGAATTTGAGAATAAATCGTTTCTAAAATTATTGATTTGTCTTTTTCAAGCACCTTCGTCTAAACTTCAATCAATCGACTTAATTGGGTTATTAGTCAACGGGAGGTGTGCATGTGCAGCACTTAACCGAAAGCGCTCGAGATTTTTTTCTGCTCACCCGCTTCGTTGCAAGCATTGCAGATGAGCAAGTCGCCACCGAGAGTGGTCAAGCTCTCGTTACGCTCGCTTCGGTCCACCCTGCTGTTATGCCGCCGAATCCGGGCGTGGTGCCGGCATTTGAGGCGCTGTCGCCTCAAGCCTCAGGTTCGTTGGGTGGTGTTGAGTGTGTCTAATGGCTGTGGCCCTGACGAAATAAAGTTGCACAGAATTTAGATCCCTTGGCACGTTGCTGGAAAATCTAGTGTATTATTCATACCAAGACGCACGACGTTGATAAATGACCTCGTCGTCAAGCGAAATGAATCTGTTAGAACACGCAATCTCTTCAGTATGTCACTTCAACGTACTGTTACTATCCTATTAAATCTAGCATTACTCGTCCCTTCGTTCGTGTCGACCTCGCCTCATATAATATACTCAGAATTTTCGGTACTTATCGCTCGGCTGCTTCGAGCACGAGCCATGGCCATTTCTCTGGCTGCGAACTCGGTAGCGCTGGTCTGTTTAGCGTACGCCATACACAACAAGCAAATACAGCATCGTGTTTGCTGTACGACACTGTCCGCTGCCACGTCGACCGTCACTTTGCGTGTCGTACGACACGAATTGCACACGAGCTTGAGGACAAAAGACACTGGAATTAGGACCTGTAAGCTCATGAAACTTCTCACAAACAACTCACCGCTCGACAGACAATACAGCAGCCGTATTTCCGTTTCTTGGGTACGCCAAAATGGGTTTTACACCTCCCAACACAGTCCTCCATCGACGGCGACATCAATCTACAGCAACAAAAATGAGCTCCTGACAACCATAAAACGCAACTCACGAACGTACCGACGTGTTGAGCGCACGGAGTCGTGTAACATCCAGCGAATTTTCTTCGAATAAGCAGTATCGCTCGTCTGGGCGAGGCTCAACGCAGCATGGAGGGCTGCATTCACTGCAGCAAATTCCGGTACACTGCCCATAGGGGCGAAGAATCCTTGCATGTACAGCTCAACGCCGCCATTCGGTAGCTCACACTTAAGCCAGCACATTGAGCTTTTGGCACGAATGTACTTGCTGTTACTTGGGTCGCTTCCCACACCAAGTTGCGTACTTCTTCCCATTATGTCGTTCGAACTCACATCGATAGAATGAGCGACGTAATATCCGAGTCGCTCACCGCGCACAGTACGAGTGACACCCATGGAAATGATGACGCAGTGGTCTCGTTTCTTAGCGAATGGGCCGTAGCCAGCATTGCCCAAATCCATCCACGTGACGCCACAGAACCGGAAAGGGTCTTCTTTTGTAGCTCCTCGAATACGCGTCAATACTCGAAAGTCGTTGACCTGATCGTGGATATACGAAGATCGAAGCTTAGCGCCATTGTCACTGTCCATGTGCATTCCATACATCTCATCGTCAAGTGTTCCTTGAAGAGCTCCGAGTACCAGTAAAGTAGGGACAGAAGTCTTACAGACAACTGGCTCAAGTCGACCGTCAGGTGTACACAACGTTTGATGCTGCTGACGCCACGACTCTCGCTCTTTGAATGCCACGAGATTGTTTTGACGACGAACTTCTTTCCATTGTTCATCGTGAAGACGACGCTTGCGGACATCTCGGAAATGTAGATAGTCAGTTAGAGTCTGCTTCGTTACTGCATCGGCGAGATGTTCGAGTTGATCAGCTTCTTCGACTGATAAAATGAGAGGCGGTGGAGGACCGCTCGGGTGTATGCCTGGGGTTTCTGGGATTAAAGGTCGATAGTTTCTGCTGCTTGTCACGTTGGCTGAAGTGCTCACTGACGCACTTAAGCTGGCCGAAAACGTCATGGTGCCGTTGAGTTGAGTGGTAAATTGCGGCGGCATTGTTGTGTCAGGAGAGAATTGAAAAGTGAAGGTGGATGTAAGAATTCATTGTGTTGATGGCAAAAATATGGAATCGACTCGGTACTACGCTGAAGATCAAGTTAAACAAGTGGAAGCATGATTCGAACGCATGCTTTCACCTTCTTTAATAGGTTGTTGTGTTTATGGCGGAAGGGTCGGTAACTACTTCGTGATGCCAGGCCCATACTACCCACATCATATCATTAGCGAAAACCCTCCCAGCGTGAGCAACAAAAGAAAAAAAATTAGATTCTCTTCTAGATGTATGTTTTCGTTTTGAGGCATCATGACAGTTTGGATTTTGGAAATATCCATTCTGTTGTCTAACCCTTTTTTATACTACTTAGCCTAGGTCATTTCTATTAAAGAAAAGTGGCCTTGGACTCGGTTTAAAAGTCTCCTTCACACAGGTAGCATCATTGTTGTCTACTAAGTAGCATGTCTTATTTTTAATTTCGTAATAGAACAGCGACCAAGGTTATATTTGACAGCATGAATTCATGGATATCTCGATATTTGAAAAAGTCGCGAAAGTGTACTTTACTTATTCCACTCATATCACCAATTATCACATACGTACTACTTTTTGGCTTAGTAAATCTTACGATGTGGGTGGAGCCAATCGAAACGGCATAGTAGATAAGAGCTACCACCAGAGCATTCACGAGTTGATCGGGTCTCATGTCGACAGAGAACACGCAGCACGCGGCACGCCAACGACCCCGGACCTATCGTATTCTTAAAAAATCGTATATGAGTACAGAGTCGAACGGATTGGTGGGGGCAGCCCTGTATGCTACAATGCTAAAGCTTCCCAGCATATTTCAATAGTCTACTCAAATGGACAACCGTTTCAAGTAGTTGTATGGATTGACCTTGGGAATACCCACCGAATTAAGAGATGGAAAAATACAAAATCACTCTGATCAAGGAACTTTACTCGCCCGAATCAATAGTCTTGGTATTTGTAGAAAAGCGTCCGGAATGTCGGGTTTTGGTCAACCCTCAGCTTCTTGTAAACGGCATCGTCGGACAATTTCGAGGTGTATTTCCATTTGTAAAACTTCTTTGTCCGATAGCTTATGTCGGTCAGCATCTCCGTGATTTTGTCGAGCTTGAACCGCTCTTCATCAACGTTATCGTTGTTGAGCGTACTATGACGTATGTGACCTCGTAAAACTCGACCATGGCCACTTGGATGATCATGACCAGGATCCAAGCTTGCATCCAAGCCATTGGCAATCTCTGTGGGTGCTGAGAGAGCGTCCTGCGCCACGAAACCCAGCGCTGCCGCGACCACGAAAGCCAAAGACAGCTTCATGATCTGATGTAGAAAGTCAGTGGCTTGAGAGCTGGATGAAGGAATGCAGAATGAAGCACGAAAAGAAATTCAACGCTTTCCAGAAAACCGTCCCAACGGACAATCCTTCTGCGGCTCATAATGACCATCCTATCAAGTTATAAACGGGACTCCGATTTCTTGTGATACAGACGTACCAGCGACTGGGCTGCATTCATGTTAGTGCGACGAGGAAGGGAATTATCCTCCGCAGCCGTTTTTAGTTCATTGTAAATCCTTTTAGAATTCTTGAGCTATCCATGTATTATAGTTTAAGACTCCAGCTACAAGCTGAAGACTACAGATCACATGATCTTCCACGTATCGACACCGCGGCATGCAGCGTTCGGCATCCAGGATGACAAGATACCCTGTAACGCCACACGTGATGACAACCTTCGTGTCCAACCAATGCAGCTGAAGACAACCAGTACCATGTAGTCTAGCTGCATGTAGTAGGAACTCACTAAGTGAGGTCCTACTACAGAAAGTGAGTCACTTTGTATTTACTCAGCAATACAATAACGGCTAACTTTCAGGGAGCACCGTCGACTCCCTTCTCCGTGTCTTCGTTTCTTGACGAACACCACACAATAGAGACCTTTCGCAAAAAAGCTTTATCCTTATCCGTAAAATATAGATAGGCCACGGCACTATTGTGTGGACATAGCGTTTTTTACTTTTTGCAGCATTCTCCACCCTCATCCTCAGAGTTTATCATCCTCCAAGAACAGCCAACCAGTTCCTATGGAAAACGCTCTTCTTCTGAGCCTCAGCACCACCAACGTCGACGCTCTTCAGCTTCTATACCTCGCAAGAGGGGTCCCGCCAGAGAGACCTTTTATTCCAGCCATAAGGTTCAAGCTCGATATTCAGTCCGACGTCAACTGCAAGAGCGACTTTCGGTTCGACAGAGCTACAATCTACTTTCTCACACTTCATTTTGCCCGACTTGAATACGTGGTAACACGCAATCGAGACAAGGTCCACTGTACAGAAGCACTCTGCATTCTACTTTACCGCCTTAGCTACCCACGCCGAAACCTGGACCTATCCAGCAAGTTTGGGCGTGCAGAGGGCCCTATCAGCAGGATATTCTCTCATATGAGTACGTGAGAATGCATTACTTTGTTTGGCATGGTAGAACTAATACTAATGCTGTTTTTGGAAAGTTGTGTACTTGTATGATAGATACAACACTCTGATCTACTTCCATAAGAGTTTGTGTCGTCGCAGTATCGCTACCTATGCTAGTGCTGTTGAGGCTCGCAGTGCGCCGATGCCCAACGTTTTTGGGTTTATTGACGGAACCAAAATTGCGATTTCACGTCCTTCATCACGGCGTGGACACCGCGAGAACCTGCAAAAACAGGTGTACTCGGGCCACAAAAGGGTTCATTGTCTTACTTACCAAAGTGTTGTCGTTCCCGATGGCCTCGCTATCCATTTCTGGGGACCCATAGAAGGCAAACGCCACGACGTTACGCTGCTGTACGAAAGTAAGCTGGTGAAGTTTTTTGAGACGCAAGACGACATCTTTAGAGGGTACGCGCTGTACGGCGACCCAGCGTATCCTATCCAACAGTACATCGTGTCGGGTTACAAAGGTGCAAGTGTATCGGCATTGGAAAAGATTTTTAATGCAAGAATGAGCTCCGTGCGGGAATCGGTGGAATGGAAGTTCGCGCATTTGAAAAGCTACTGGGCGTTTATTGATTACAAGAAGTCACTAAAACTACTGGTGGGACCTATAGGTAAGTATGTCTCCGTAAGTATGCTGCTCACCAATTGCCATTGTTGCCATGAAGGTGGGAACCAGATCAGTAAGTATTTTGGACTGGTACCCCCTACATTGGCAGAATACTTAAAAGCATAAAGCAAATTTCCACCCTTCCGTTTTATTTGCGTGTTCTAACTACGATTAGCGCTGACAATTCCAGCGATCTGCTGTCCAATCATCTCTGCCAATGCAAGCATAAAGTCTCGGTCCTTTTGTCGTTCTTCGGCGCGCTGAGCAGCTTTTGTCTCCTGCTCCTCTTTTCTTGCTTCGATCTCCTGCTTCTTTAATTGGAGTACAAACTCTCTCATTTCCTCCTCCTTGCGCTTTCGTGGTGGCGTCGTACTCTCGTCACGAAGACGCTGCATGGCGAGGCGACGGACGTTTCGGGAGGCTTCCTCGTCTTCGTCACGCTTTCGCTTGGCTGCGTCTTTTTGAGACTTCTGCACTGCTGCACGATCATCGATAAGCTCGATGAGCTCGTCGAGGATCGTATCAGCTTCAGTTTCTTCCTCTGCGACCCCCGATGCGGCAAGCGCCACCGTGTTCGCATCTCTCTTGCGCTGAATAAGCTTGTCGAAGCGTGCCTGTGCATGCTTTCCTGAGAGCTTGTCTCTTGGAAAGCCTGCGTCGCCGACAAGTGTAGCAGCCACGGAGTCCCAAGCAGCAATGACCCCTCCACGCTCACTTAAAAAGGGCCGATCGAATGCTGCTTGGCGCAGCAGCGCAAGGTCCTCTTCGCCCGTGAAGTTTCGACGCTTCTCACTGGGTGGCATAGCTTAACAGGAAAGGTGGGCGATTTAGATGTGAGGAAATCATTCTACAGGCTGGTAGATTCTGCAGAACGCTATCCTCAGATGGGCAGAGTGTGCAGCGTTTTTGTTTAGCACTGTGGGTATGGGTAAATACTGCTGGTGGCGAAAGGTCTCTAATGACACGACATCATCTTTGTTGGTGTAACTACAAACATATGTACACGGAGATTGAGTAAGAACCAGGGATTTTCACATGTCGAGTAGCGGGGGATAGCGTGAGTACTTTCACAAGTACATGTAGGGCAACGGAAGATGGCGTTAATGTCTTCACGATTGCCTTCACACTCCCGGCAATTTTTTTTTCGAATACACCCAAAAGGCACTGTAGGCTACAGCGCCAGCTATAGTGTAGCTTAGGGAGTATACAGCCGCTTAGCGGATAGAGTGAAAGCCTTACGAACATACCCCGAGACACGTGTTTATGACATGCTCAGCTCCCATAAATGATACTCTATCATTTAATATGTCGTGATAGGTGATTAAAAATAGAGGTTTCTTGATGTCCCGTATAATACTGAATACCTATTTGCCAGTACACCGTATTGTATACGGCATATTGGCTGATAGGTTTCAGCAAGAACTTTAATATTTCTGCCTTGGTTAATATATGATAAATTTGGCGCGTCTTCGTTATTTTTAAAACAAATTCAAAAATCTATGAAGCGTCTTTTGCTCGGGGTAGTAGCTATCTGTACAAATCCTAATATTTGAAGCTGATATCTCGATATTTGAAAAAGTCGCGAAAGTGTACTTTACTTATTCCACTCATATCACCAATTATCAGATACGTACTACTTTTTGGCTTGATAAATCTTACAATGTGGGTGGAGCCAATCGAAACAGCATAGTAGATAAGAGCTACCACCAGAACAATCACGAGTTGATCGGGTCTCATGTCGACAGAGAACACGTAGCACGCGGGGCGCCAACGACCGCGGACCTATCGTATTCTTAAAAAATCGTATATGAGTACAGAGTCGAGCAGATTGGTGGGGGCAGCCCTGTATGCTACAATGCTAAAGCTTCCCAGTCTATTTCAATGGTCTACTCAATGTCACA